GGCGGCCGCCAACACCACCGGCGCCGCCTCGCCGCAGGAATGGTTCCGCCCGCGCCGCCCGGCCGACTCCGACCCCTCCACCTCCGGCGGGCGCGTCGCGGCGCGCGACCCGGGCGTGCGCGTCAGGGCCAAGGACGGCGCCGAGGAAAAGAAGGGGGAACGTAAGAGGAGATGGTGGGAGCGCTGGTCCAGGGACAAGGAGAGCTACCTGGTCGACGACGTGGAGCCGCTCCCGATGCCGTTGACCATCCCGGGGACCGAGCCGATGTCGCGGGAGGAGCTCGACCGCCGCCTCAGCTGCGACGTGAAGATCGATGTGGGTGCCCGGTCGCGGTGTCTGTGTTTTCGAGTCATCTGGGGTTGGATATGGTGCCAATTCTTAGATGTTTGTTTGTGCGGCTTTGGATTGTAGGAATGCAAGATGGTTTCGTACGAGTGGACGGGCAAGTGCCGGAGTTGCCAGGGGTCGGGACTGGTGACCTACTTCAGGAAGAAAGGGAAGGAGACCATCTGCACGTGTGTGCCATGCGCTGGCATTGGTGAGATTTCTCGATCTTCATTTCATTACTCAGCTTGTTGTTATTGTTAGGAATAGCACCTGCGAAAGGAAGGGGAGGTAGGAAGCCTTGCTATCTTGCCAGAAGTTAATGCTTTAGCTTGAGTTAAGGCTTGTGATTTGCGACCATGTGTGATGTTGCTGTGGTGAATTTTTACTTTGGAGGATAATTTGCCGTACAACCTTCACGGGCAGCAAAGCTTTTACTGGCAGAAGCCCGTTGTGGTCATGAAATATGAACCTCCATCTCTGTTTTTAAGTTGCAGAAGCAATACTATAAATATTTCTGATATAGCAATGACACCAAGTTCACGATGATCGTGCATATAACCATTGGTGCTACAGCGATTAGAAAAACTCACATTTGGGTAATTGCAGCATAAGTCGATAAATTTTGTGGTGCTCCAATAATTGGTGCATAATAAACACTATACTCCTGATGTAAGCTGAACCTAGACCTGGGAATAGTTTGGATTCAAACTATAGTTTCAGTTTGGTTTGCTATTGGGCTGTCATTGGAGTGGACAAAATAGACTGAGACACGATGTTAATTCAATTTGGTCTGGGCTGCACTTATTTTTGGGTTGGATTGGTTTGGTTTGGACAGAGAACGATTGGTCCCAAACAGTTTTATCCCATAGTCTGAAACCAAATCCAGCGACCAAATCATACTAGCTAACTCGATGGGCGACGGCCGCCGCCAGGGGTTGCTGGGCTGCCGCTGGATGGAGCTCCGGCCACCGCCTCCTCTCTCTCTCTCTCTCTCTCTCTCTCTCTCTCTGCCAGGTGAGACGCCTCTCTCTCTCTCTCTGCCAGGTGAGACGCCACCACCGACCAAGACGCCGCCGCCGGTGACCAAGCCTGCAAGGCCAGGGATGCAACTTGTTGCCCGCCTACATGGGTGCTACGCAGCAGTGCACCCGAGGCTGGCCGGCGTGTCTGCTACATGGCCGACTGCAGCAAGCTGCATCAACAGCCACGGTGTTCAGTGATGGCAATTAGTATTCATGCATGCATCAACAGCCACGGTGTTCAATGATGGCAATTAGTATTCATGCATCAGGATTCAGGAGCTATCCATGTCCCGCATTTGCGCATGTCCATAGTTTGAAATTTTGGACAGAGACCAATTTTAGGAAATGGGCTGGATTGGTTTGGCTTGAAAACATGAGCAGTTTAGTTTGGTTTGGATTATAGCACTTATAGTTTGGATTGGTTTAGTTTGATTGGTACACATGTACATGTATGGATTGGTCTGGATTTGGTTCGGATTACAAACTTTTCCCAGGTCTAGCTGAACCCGAATTAAGCATCTTAGTTGCGATCCTGGGTGAATTATGTAGCTCTTGACATGTAGATGAATAACTAGTCAATTATGGGACAACTGGGACTTCTGTTCGCCTAGAATCCTATATGCATTAGTCTGTCGTATCTATTCAGGAATAACTGGGTTTCTATCTTATGTAAATGTAACCGTATGATGTGGGCATTTCACATATACAGATATACCAATGATATAGCAATGTTCCAACAAAAGAACAATCATGGAAATGTGTTTTACGAAAACTACGAAAATAGAGAAATCTGCTAGAGATTATAAGTTATAACAACAAAGCAAAACATCTGACACTTAATTCTGTGGACATTATGGTTAATGACAGATAGCTGGCAGATGTTATTTGTCTTTCCAACCTACGAAGGTGCATCCTGGTCATGGGGTTCTCTTTGATTTGCATGACATGGCAATATTACCTTATTAAGAAATTAATAAATACAAGCAAATCTGGGTTCCTGCATGCCTCATGCACCTTCTTTGTATACATACCCCTCTTATTTCCATACCCTTCCCCACCTCCACCCCACATCCCCTTCACCCCCAGTTGTGCCACTGAAAACAATAGCATGCCACCAGTTCCCATCCTACGAGCCTTGTCTTTCTACAAACTCTCCCCATCTCTTGTACTCCCTCTGTAAACAAATGTAAGACGTTTTAGAGACTTGACACAACTCTCTAAAATGTCTTATATTATTTGTTTATAAGGCGGTAGGGTGACCTAAGGCGAGCATCACCCGCTCTAGCGCGTAAGGCGGGCATATTTGTAAGGCGCTGCCAGGGCGCCTTATCGCCTAATCGTCGCCTAAGCATCCAAGGCAGGACGCCTTAAAAACAATGCTTATATTTGTTTACAGAGGTAGTATGTTAAAGAGTAAAAAAATAATTTCTCATGCAATTTTTTACACCTCTCCTGCCACTGAAAAATATAATTGTTTTTATTATAACTGTAATACTCTCTATATTTGATTTATCTTTACTAGATATAATTTTATCTCTTATATGAATGGAACACCTGTAATATCTAGATTTTGTCCATCCCTAGTGTTATAAAATTATAAGTTGGTTCCCATGAAAACAAGTGCTTCTAGCTGTTCTCTTTTTCCCTTGATCAATTTGCAAATTATAATCTTGCTCCAGCAAAATAGATTCAAGTTTTTTTTTCTCCTTATTGTTGAAGGAATTTCTAGTTTTTTATTTTATTTAATAGGATTGATATGGGATTTTTAGCCTTAAAAGCAATGAATTGCCTTGGATGCCATTGGTTATTCATAATTTTATATTTTACATAGATAAGACATGTATTTTGAGTAATAATAAAATTGCATATAAGCTAAAGAAATATCAAGAATGGCACACTTTATTATACAAACCCTCCAATAGATGCCCCACCTACTGCACATATTCATTCTTCTCCAAAGTTAAAATTGTGATATTAGGTAGTATGGCTACCCATACATCTTCTGGCTATTATTGTACTCCTAAATTCAATAGCAAGCGCCCAAGAACCTAGAAACGAGCAAAAAAGCAAAAGTAGCAAATATGAGAACAGGGAGTGTGAATTTGGGATTTTCGGGTAGTGGGAATGTTATGACCGGCATATTAGGGGCTTAGCCCAGTTAGTTGTGGCCCAGTTTATCTTATCGTTATTAGGGGCTTAGCCCAATTATCTTATTAGGAGGATTATATAAACTCGTGTAAGGACCCGTTTTGGGATTAAGCAGAAGCATTCATATTTGCTCGGCTTCCTGAAGGGAGCCGGGAGACCTAACCCTAGTCGCCGCGTCCTGCTCCCTCCCTCCCTC